AATAACGGCGTTACTTTTTTCAGTAACGAGTAATCTAATTACTATTTCTATCGTTACAACGCCGTTACCATTACTAACAAGAAAATGCGGTCGCATTACTATTTTTCAACAAACAGACGTTTGAAGCTGTCTTCAGGTTACAGGATCTTATATCAGCTGCGCGGAGGTTGCTGTCTATGTAAGTAACATGGGACCGCGGTAAAGTGAGCCGTCATTTGTGAGCCGCGGTCAAGCCAGCCGCCTCCTATCCGCCGCATAAATGTCCTTGCGCTTTTACACCAGTCTTTACGGTAGCGCCTTTTCGCCTTTTCCAGAATAGTTGAGGTCCAACTTTCAACAGATTCCTCAACTACTCAGGATGATTCTTAATGAATTTTCGAAATTTACATAATTGTAGTGTATTGGCTGTATTGAATTGTATATAAATGTCCTTTAATTTCTGAGGAATTTTACAGTGAATCTGGATGAAACTTGGCACACAGGTACAGTAGGTGTCCCAGAGAAGGACACAAAGTTGTAATTTGTGTGCGCCCGTGTGCGTGTGACTGTTCGCGCGCGCGCACGTGTGCGCGAGTCTAGGCTTTCAATCAGGATATAAAGCGAAAAGGCGCTACCGTGAAGACTGGTGTAAAAGCGCAAGGACATTTATGCGGCGGATAGGAGGCGGCTTTGGGGATAGGAGCCACTTTTTTGAAGAAGTAACTAGCAACTATAATTAATTACTTTTTCAAAGTAACTTGCCCAACACTGATCCGATGGACAATCTACTCATTCTCTAGGGAATTCACGTAACGGTGAATACATGAGGCGTGCTGGCCCCTCAACAAATCAGAAACAAAATTCAAAGATATGTGAAGAAAACTCTCTGAGTTGATGGTATGCTGCTGCTCTTTCCAGGTATTTCCAGTATGAAAATACCTGTAGTGTGTGAAGTGTGAAAGAAATTAACTAATAAATTCTAACTCTGATATAGAGCCAGTCCCAGTAGATACTGAGATTTCAAACTGTGACCTGTTGGTTTCTGTTTGATCTGCACAGTTTTTGCGGTCACACCATGACCAGGTTTGTGATAAAGTTACTGTTACATCCATGTCTGCTGCACTTTCTACAAATGTCCTCTTTCATCTGAAAGACGGCTCATGTCAAGCTATGATTTAAGTCTATTCAGCTCATTTTATGGACTTTTTCTTGTCTCTTTCACTTGGCAGCAAACTACCATGATTGCTCACACAGCAATTTAACATAAATTATAGTCTTCAGCTACAAGTCTTGTCAGAATAAGTCTAGCTGTATTTTTTACCTATTTTCCCTTCAACCTGCTTCCAGCTGAATGCAGCTTCATCCTCACCGGTGCTTTTTATCTCTACCACAGCTCTTTATAGCCCCCTAGTGGAAACAGTGAGCAGTTACCTTTTTATAACCTCTGACACAGTATCAAAGTTGACGTGAAATCATGCTTTTCATGTAATTCTGTAATTATCTCTGCATGTCTGCTAATGAACTGGAATGCCCTGATTACATGGGAGAGCAGGAATCACACATTGCTGATTAGTGCTTTGTTTTGATGGTGTTTCTAAATGCTGATGAGGTGGATAAGCTGCAGCGCCTCTTACACTCTGTGTAGAATAATTAGCTGAGAGCACTGTTGGCCTTTTGTTACAGAGCCAACGGGAGCTTTGAAGCTGCTCTGAAAATGACCTGGAGATATTTTAAACTGTAGCTGAAGTGACAGAATAGAAGAGCCCTCTATTGTCATCGTACATGAACAATGACATTATGTTGTTTATGGTCAGAAGACAGTTTTGGAAGAGAGACAGAGATTGATAACAACTAATGGTTAGATGCAGAGTGGTGTGTAAACACATGGTGAGCAAAAAGGTGAGTGAAGAAGCATCTCTTCTTCTGCATCTTCCTGTGCTGTCTGGGTCTTTTTACACTTTTCAGTCTTGTTCTCTTGTCACACATACTGTTTTGAACTTTGATAACTAAGAAAAACTGTACCACCAAGTGCAGTATTTACAGAAACTTTTAAATTAGATAGCCAACAACTACTACTGAGCCTTCAAAAGTACACACACACACACACACTGCTCTTTTATTGAAACATCTGTACTAAAGTCTTTAATAGCGTTCAGCTGACAGTAGAGGGAGTTACATAATCAGTAATGGTGAGTAAAATCAAAAACCTGTGCAAAGAGGACCCTTCCAGCACCATCATATATATATATATATGTTTTTACAGACTATTATTTTAAGGTGTTTTCTAGTGAGTGCTTCAGGTCTGCCAGCTTCTTGGTGCATTGCATTATGGGGGATATAGCCCATGAGCACATGTCTAACTGATGAATGTCCTTGAACTTTTTATGTGTCTTAAAGAGATTAAAGGAGATTTTTTAACTAATGTTCAAAAGGCAAAAATGCAAAATCATTAACTGTCCATCACTCAGCAACCATTCACCTCAGACTTTTTTTATCCAGAGTAAAAGTGGTTTCTGATGATTGTTCTGAAGGAAGGTTTAAAGAGCAGTGACTCAGTTATTCAGGTTTCACTTGTTTGTTAAATCACAAAATAGTGACTTAAATTTACTTTAACATAAATAATCCTCAAATAGTTTCAGTTCATAAATGTGACATTAAATTTAATAATGCTGGCTTTTCAATATGGAACACTTTAATTATCCCCAACATCAGACTGACGAGCACTCGAGTGCTGTTTGATAATTCTCTTTATTTCCAATATACATTTCATTTGAAAAATATAAATTCTAAAATAAACAATTTCACCTATTCTAAAGTCACAAAATGTTAATAATAATAAAAAAAATTGCATCAGTATTCCGAACACTAGGATTAACAGAAGATTTTCACGTCGTGTTGTAGGTTTTTGTCCGACACACTTACACAGAATCACACTTTAAACTAACCACTCCCCACAGAAGATGTCCCGGGCGCTGACTCACATTCGTTTCCACTCGCCGCTGCTGACAGCTGTAAATCCTGAGGTGGAATATTAAGTATGTCGTGACTCTTATCTACGTCTTTGAAATCTCTACCGTGGCGATCCGTACAGAGGCCCGGAGGTTTCAAATTAAAATGAAAAAAGTGAGAAAGTGCTTCAGTGCACCCATTAGAGATTCAGTGGGGAGATGGTGCCGATCGCTGTACTGGAGTTAAAAGATAACCGTGGGTTATTTTTAACCTTTTAATGTGGGTCATGCCAACTTTGAGCTCCATCTTCACCACAGAGACAAAACAAAAACAGAAAACAGCATGTAAAAGCTTTTTGTGTCTATTGTTTGGATCAAACTGCAAGAGTGTGTCGTTCAACATTTAAAGCGGCTCTTTTGTGCTGTTGTTGTTGTTTTTCTTTGCTTATGAGAGTCATCCAGTCACTTTCTTCAGACGTGGAGAACTGAGGCTAAAACTACTTGTTTCAAACAGTAATGACTACTGTAAGATAAATATGCATTATTTATCTTACCATGCAAAGGTAATCTGTAATCTCCAGGAATAAGTATGTTAAAGATGCACAGGGTCTACATCCACCTGTATGTCCTGCTATCTGATGGAGTTATTATTATAATTTCCCACCAGTTATTTTGATGGGAAATTATATAACAAAGCTGCTAAAGTAAAATGCATGTCAGGTGAAAGTGGGTGTACAGCAGCTCCTTTTGCTTAATTACCTGTACGAGCAGCAGAGCACTTTGCTTTCAGTTGTTTCAGTGAGATACTTACTGCAGTTTGGGGGAAATTGTAAAATGTTTTTGCACTGAAGAAAAGAACATTTTTCTTTGTATATACCAAGAAACCTACAGCTGATCCATAATGGGTCAGCTACAATTTTGTTTTTTCAAACAACCTTTGGAGCTTGTATTTCTGTTAATACAACTTCTGTTTCCTGCCTGATTACTACAGCAGAAGGGAAGAGTTCAAAGTTAGCGCGACCCACACAGCAGCCACATTCATGTAATATAAGTTCACATAAACCTGAATTATCCTTTATAACTGGCCAAAAACAGACGAGCAGTCAGAGAGATGCACGCGGTCATTCTGTGGGAAACCGTCTGAAGTAAAAACATTGGAGCAAATATGGAGTTTGTACATCTTCTGCCTCACTGACATGATGTTTTAACAACTGTTTAAAGGATGTGTGTGGGTTAAACACAACACTCACATGCCCTGTGCACACTCTACAAGCTCAGCAAGTTTATTATGGGGGCCAAAATTAAAATGATTTGCCTGATAATTAGAAATTTGAGTTAAAGTGAAGAAAACTGAGTCAAACACTGACCAGCAATCAGAGATTCAAAGACATGTTTGACAGCTGACGTGCACACGGGTCTTTGTGTGGATTTGAAGAAGACAGGATTGCATAACACCGACCAATAAGTCTCTGAATGTAAGCACAGATGGCATGTGACTGTTGTATTACAGCCCAAACACATCCTTATTAAAAACGTCTTCACATCATCAGATAATTCCAAAAACAGCTGAGAAAAACAAAGAAAACCTGCCGTGAACCGAACTGAGCTCGCATGGATTTGATTCCCGTCTCCTCTTTTTCACATTGTTACTTTAAGAATCAATCTCTTATAAGCCACTTAGGTAAAGTACTTTGTGCAGCAAAAGTAATTATTATGATATGCATTTCTAGTTAGAGTTTAAGTTTGGCGGAGGAAAATCGGATGATTATGTCGCTGGATTGTTTTCTACTCGAACAGAAAAAAATAAGAAATGTTACAAACACACAATAAAATCTTTTTTTAAAGCAAAACAAAAGAAGAAAATCATTTAAATTAAACGAGTAACAAAAGCAAAAGAGTAAAAGATTCAGAAAACTAGAAACTGAAGCAAGTAAAACTGCATCACAAAGTGAGAATAAAAATATTTTCCTCATCTGCACATACAAATGTGCATCGTTAATCTGCTATTAATTTACTTAAATATCTACTGTATTTCCTTCACAAGCTATGATCATAGAGTGAATCTGTGTGAATCATTTCTACAAGAGGACAGAGAGAAAATATCAAAACCCCATCAAAAATCAACACATTGCAATCATTCATGATAAGCACTGAATCTAAAACAAGAGGTAGAGCTATAAAAACATGATTTTCCTGCTACAGGAAAATGTTATTAGAATAATTCGGTTTATATAAAAACTCAGACAGATGATATTTGTATATGTTTATATAAAAAGAGCAGGTCCATGCGTGGTCAGAGTGAGCTGCAGCCTCGGTCGGTGATGCGTAGGAGGAGTTGCATAGAAGAATATTCAGGGGTTACCTTTGTAAGCAAAGACTAGCTGTGGAGCTGTGAGAGAAACGTGGTGAGGAAAGACCATAGAGCGTGCAGCGTAATGCTTTTCTAAAGCGTGCCGCTCTTCACAACAAAGTCTTGAAGTCATGAAGGAGATCGGAGTTAAAAGAATCACCGAAGGTCAGTAAAAAGCAAGTTGTGCTGCAGGTTGGTGGAGATCTACAGAGATGTTTCGGATCCTCTGCTCTTCCAGTAGAAAGTGTTATCATCGTCTGGGTCCATGTCGATTCTAATCTGAGGCACAGACTTCAGCGGACTCATCTCAGGACTGAAACACAAAAATAAAATATTTTAAGTACACGTGTGCAGACGTAGTGCGTCGACTATATCATCTAGGTGTTCGGGGTCGATTAGATGAAGCTTCAGCAGACTCGCCTGCTGCATCACTTTTCACTTCAGTTTTTAGGGTGTCTTTAAATTCAGCTCTTTCTTTTCTTTGAAACAACGCAGCATCCTTCTGTTCCTAACACGTCATCCTGTCCTTATCAGTATTCAGTAGATATCCAGGAGGATTTCAAAGTTTTCCTGTAATTTTTTGGGAGCAGAGTAAATATGACAAAGATCTGATAGATGCCCACCAAAAAAATCATGCTCACATCTCAAAGGTTGTACCCGGTGATTATTTGGCATTGTTGCTTAAAAACTACTTATCTTGGTTACTAGTTTATGTTTAGCTGACTTAACATTTCACCTCTAGGTCACTTTATTGTGGTATTTCACTAATACCTCAGTATAGATCTGATGTTTCCTGAGGTCGTCTGAGCTCAAAACAATTTGCCTTCAGTCTTAGTGGGACAGGATTACTTTAACAGCAGGGTCAGCGTAACGTCATTACTACAATAGATACCCAGGACCGATGCCAGTGATAATAATGAGCATGTAACTATTAAAATGCCTAAAATGTTTTAAAGTAAAATGGCATCAAAAAGCACCCAGCTAATTAACCCTAAAAGAAAACAACATGTGACTGAAGAGCACTGTGGCTGCAGACCAATTATGTCACTGGTTGTGGTTTGTTGACATCGCAGATGTCCTGTAATCGCAGCTGCTTTTCACACATTGTGGTAACAGTGCTGATGGAAGAGGATTAGTGGGACGACTGTGGGGCAGATGGGGTGATGGGAAGGCAGCTTGACCCTGCATGTGCTCACAATGCGCAGATCCTGGTCATTGTGAGAAGTTGCAGACATGATGGAAAAACATAATCTCTCTTAAGCAGCATAATCTTTGCTATAAATATTTGCACACAAACAGTTCCTGTCATGCCTTTTTAAGACCGATTGTCTCCTTAAAGCTCTTATCAGTGGAACACAGTGTGCATTTATCATGCAGTATAGACTTACAACATCCACACAGCAGATTGATCTGTGTTCCTAAATACACAAAAACACTACAAAATGGCCTAAGATGCAGCTTTAGATACTAATCTCTTACAAGTCACAGGCAAATTTAAGACGAACCAGTTTAGCTGTTATTCAGCTGGTTGCTTTTGATAATCCTGCAGGTTATGTTCCTGCAGACGTTCAATGAAGTTCAACATAGTCAGACTTTGTTAGCATTAGCTGGCTCGATAAAACCTTAAATCCCAGTCAGAGATGATGGATGTCACAAAGGTGGTTATCAACTTTGTCTGCAGGAGAGAAACTGTCGTGAACTGGCTGTGAAAGGACGCAAATGCAGATAACATATAACACAGCGTTATTAAGTAAATGGAAATACAAAACAACAGTGGGAAATGATAAGAACTAAACACATGTGGAAGCAAACAGAATGACACACAACCATGAGGGAGAACGCGACACTGGACAGAGGGAAACACGGGGTTTAAATACACAATAGGATGATGAGGGAACAGGAAACACATGGGGAACACAGCGGAGACAAATTAGACACGAGGAAGCAAAACGAAACACACTGAACATGGAACGCAAGACTTTCACAATAAAACAGGAAACGAACGCAAGACTTTCACTGACACTGGAGTGGAGAAAAGGCAGATAAGAGGGAGCGAGGGAACACGAGGGAACACGAGGGGAACATGGATAAACATGGTAGACAGGGGAACATGCAACGAAACATAAGGAGCGAAACAAGACACAAGGACTCACAAACGGATATAAACAGAGACACAGAGGGCAAAGACACAGGGAGCTAAACAGGGAATATAGGAAACTCAAAACAGCATAACTAGGACTACTAATGAACCAGAACATCAACCATACTACAAAATATTAACTAACTCAAAATGCTGGGTTAAAAGGACCCAGAACCACGACACGGACGTTGCAGACATTTTGTAAATGTTTCGATTTGATCGTAACAAGCACGAGTGAAAAAGTAACTCAGGCTCATATATTTTACCACTCGTTGTGGTGGTGCTGCACATTACAGCTCTCAATCTTTAACTTGTTTAAACATTTGATGTTATTCAGTGTGTTGATGTCTGACGCTTTCCCATAAAGATGGGAAAATTAGTGAAACACACTTTGTTGTTTTATATACTTTTTGCATTGCTACGGCACAGAAACTAAATCACACAAACGGGAAAGTGTGGAAAACTTACATATGACTTTAACTAAAACTCATACAAACAGATGAGTCTCCATGAGACTGAAAATATGGGCTAATTTTGCTTCCAAGTACACCCGTCGGGTCTGAATGCTATAGTTTGGAGCCATAATTATTATGTAGCTTTAATCCTATGCATATTTGCTGAAAATAATAAAGTATTATCTGTGATAATGCAGATTCTGGAGGCATCATTGGCCATTAGAAAGCACTTTGGGTGCAAGTTGCAGCCGAGCATGGAAGATTTCAGTTTGCTGTCTTTCAAAAGGCTTAGCAGTTACGTGGCAGCTTAGGTTAGCCAGCATCTACAGATGTCAGTTAATTTGAGTAAAACACAGACTAAGTCACAAAATGTGTTTAGGACAAACTTTATTTATCTCTAAAGCTGTGGAAAAGTAAACCAAAAACTACATAAAATATTAGCTCACTAAAAAAGAAAAAGTCTCACTGAAGCAGCTCCTTTGTTTTACTGAAGGAAATAAAATAGAGTAAAAACTCTTTTGTGAACATAGCAGAAAAAAAGCACAGCAAAAAACTAGTATTCAGAAGCCTTTCACTTTTTAGCATACAGCATGCAAACAGCATGACGGGGCAGACAGACGAGCTGGCATATGGCGCCCAGCGCTTTGCTTCCCCTTGAGGAAAATACAGTTTAGCCATAGGTAAGCTAATTAGCCTAACTGACCTTTAAAGTTCAGGCTAGCATTACGCGTGGGGATAGTTAGCGTGCCTTCTGACCTTTTGCCATCTCTGATGCCACTGTCTTTATTAAATGCAAAAGGAAATTGGTGGAGGTTGTTTTGTTTCGTTGCCATTTTGTTTAGTCTGGCAGGTGAGCTGCACTGTGACAGTCTGTGGCTCTCAGCTTCCCGTCTGTACACACTCTAATATCCACACACACACGTCTCACCTGGACAAGTAGTTGGCCTGGTAGAAGCGAAGCTGCTCAGCACGATGTGTGTCGTTCAAGGAATGATGAGGACTTGTCTCCTACGAAAAACCCCCAAAGAAAACAGCCATTAGCTCACAGATATCCATGTAACTTGGTAGATAGCCTCTGACACACTTTAATGTTTGACATCCTGTGTGTGTCATAGCATCTGTAAGAGCAAAGCAGCGGGTAAAACCAGGAACACAGTGTGGATCAAAGATACTGTAATGAATACATATAGAAACCAGTCAGTTCATTTAATGTTGTAAACAGGCATTTGTTCTAATACTAAAGGACCAGTGTGTGATACTGGGGTCGTTTATTTTCCCCCATCCAGCGTGTATCATACTTTTATCTGCTTCAACAGAGTCTTTAAAGGTTGTTCTAGTATATTTCTACACCAGCCCAGACAAAGCTCAGGAGAGGGTCTGCTGTGTTGTATTCTATTTGATTTTATTAGGTGAAGTGATCCTAAAACATATAATAATCAACACCCTCTGAAAAGCAGGGCCAATCAGTTAGTTCCAACCTCCAATAAATGTAATTAAGTCTACACACTAGTCCTTCAGCAAACGCACATTAGTTATATATTAAGGCAAAAGTTAGAATTCAAGAAGACTTTTGTACATAAAACTAAAGTTACTGTTAAATATGTTTAAACAGGCAGGATCCACAAAGTCAGACTTAACAGCACGTAACTGAAAATGGAAACTGATGGGGGGAAAGAAGTTAATCGAGCAGGACGAGGTAGAAAGCGAGCAGCTTTCATGCATGTTTGAAAGGAAGTAAGCACAAAGAACGGCAAAGAAGTGAAGCAAATTTAAATATCATGCAGTTACAGACAAAAAGGCACCACATCTTTACTAAGTACTGCAAGTTAGGCAGGCGCAAGAAGTAGTTTTCTCCGGTGCTGCAGGTAGTTACTCACTGTCAGAAGCCTTATCACTTAAGAAGGGCTCCTGTTCCATCATGTCCATGGGGATTTTAATGCTGGGAATATTCTCATTGTAAGGAAAGTCAGACTGTTGGAGAGAGGAAACATCATCATTGGAAACTTTCTTTTTTCTCTTCACCAGCTTGTTTCCAGCCATATCCAGTTCAGAGCTACAAGAAAATCAGTCATGAGTGAATAATTCAGAGCAGCCTGCCAGAGGGTCCAACTGGGCCCACTGCACATCTCTGCAAAGTGTAGAAATTGGAGCAAAGTCATTCATTATATTTGAATGCAGCACGACGATGGCGTTAACACACAGGAGTAAAAATATGTGGAAATTTTAACATGTTTTTAAACTCATGTAGACATAAAATAATATTGTCTAGTTTTTAAAACCAATGTATATGAAGTTTTGTACTTTTTAATGCCTGTGATTGTAAATCATAATGTAAATGTAAGCAAACTCACTGAGGGTGGAAAAACACGGATGCGTCACAGACTCATCTGTTTTTAAAGCGATAGTTCATTAAATGTATTCAAAAGAAAGGGGTGTGGCTGTTTTTCACCTCATTTACTATGCAGTCATACAGACTGGGCTGCAGGAGACTCGTTAACTGTTAGTTAACGATAACTGTGCTGAGGTGCACTGTTTAGCCTTTAGTCAAAACTCTTGCAATAAGATCTCTCTCTGTGCTGCAAATATCTAAAAATGCAAAGTGCTTGAATAAAACCCACGGCGTTCTCTACACGGTGAAGGTACGATTTCAGCATATGTCGCCTCTTAAACATTCTCATGTTCATTAACTGGAAGAACTACAACCTAAAAATGAAAGCAATGTGCATAAACCCCGAGTTAGGATGAGCTGCTGTAACAGAAAACAAACAAAAGGAGTTAAGAATGAAGAATCTCAAATAAACCTAAGAGTGAGTTAGAGATGTAAGAGATGAACATATCCCAAACTTACGTCGTCAGCGTCGCTGTCTATGCTGCCACGTTTCTTCTTTTTCTTCTTATCATCCTCTTTCTTCTTCTTGTCCTTCTCTGGGATGACATCATCCAGGAAACTGAGGTCATGCTGAGAGAACAGGTAATCCATCGCCTTTCTGACAGCGACCAGAGCGAGGATCTGATTTTGAGATCATTCGTTGACAGAAAGACGTCAGCGTTAATTCTATCGATATTTCTTTTTTAAACATGAGCTGAAATCGACGTAATTTGTAAAATAAAATAATACATTAACCCACATTAACACGTCAAACCTGATTATTTCACTTTGATTCTGAAAAGTACAACAAACTTTATCGTTCAATGAAGTTTATAACAACATCCTGCAATATAACTGTTACATGAAGTACTGGGATAATCTCTGCTGATTTATCACCCAGATAAACTCAAGTCTACGTACACAAAACAAACTTTCGAGAAACGGTTTGAACTTGAACTGAAAATGCATTTCTGGCCACAGCCTCTTTAATCCTGCTTTGGTGAGTGTAATGCTGAACATAGTGCCTGCTTAGCTTTAAAACAGCACAAACTCTCTGTTAATGAACTTTCCATTTAAGCTGTAAAAATGTGTCCTGATATGAAACTTTCGTCACGCCATTATGAATCTGCCCAATACCTATGTACCTAGATCAGAGTCCTTCTGCTGATGATGCCTGTGATATGACTCTTACAATAATACTAAAAGGTGTTAGTATTACTCACTAATCCCACAAGGTTGATTCTGTTCATCTGGATGTTTTCAATGGGAGAAACGTTTCTCATAAACAGCACATTTGCACAATGACTGAAACCAGCACCACTGAATGAACAAAGTGCTGTGAGGTCAGTTCTTTGATCGTTAATATGTTAACTGTCATGACCACTGATCAAAGCCCACGGAGCATTGATCAAAGAATCGGGGAATGGCTGCAATCACAGCATTGTAAGATGGTGACAGATGGACCCTTAGGCCCCTCCTCCATTCAGAGATGGTCTTTCCCTTTTCACGTAAATGGCCTCCTTGACTCCGCCCTCAAACCAGCGTTCCTCCCTGTCCAGGATGTGCACATCCTCATCATGGAAAGAGTGTCCACTGGCCTGTAGGTGTAAACAGACTGCAGAGTCCTGGCCTGACGAGGTGGCTCTTCTGTGACAAAATGTTTCTCACACTGAAAACGTCCAGATGAACAGAATCAACCTTTTGGGATCCACTTACCTGGGTGATTGAGCGTGCATCAAGACATTACTCACTAATATTAATTTAAACTATACATTCTAGGATGCTGCAAACTTAATTAGCAGCATCTCAATAAAAAGATGTCTCACCATGACAGGGAAGACGATGGCAGCCACGGTGGACTTGAGGATCCAGAGCAGAGCCAAGCAAAGGATTTGCATAAAAGTGAAGAGGTGGACCTTCCGGAGAGGAACGTGTCGCAGGTAAACCAGGTCCGGCTGGTGCTTCGCCGGCATTAGAAGCAGCTTAAGACGATCCATGAACTACAGAGAGACCGTGGTAGCAATTAATATGACAGAGCTTCAGTAACCATCACTGCTTTTCACTGCAACTAAAGTAAAGGAAACTATGCAAGTCCTTATTCTGAGACTTTTACTGATATCGGCTGCTGAAGGTACCCAGGCATCATCTGCAGCATGTTTGGATTTTTTATGTTTAAGCGTGAAGATTCAGCCAATCATTTCCAGCTGGTATCCTTAAATTTACAGCATAATGCAGTTTATCCTACACAAGTGCTGAGTGACTACCTCAAAGGGGGAGAAAGCAGCAAGGCAGCTTGAGTTTCTCTGACTCTGAGCACATCTGTCTGTGCTGATGCACAGATGGCCTTCTATCCAAAGAGCCTCTGCACCTATGGTGTCACAGGCTTGCTTCTCTAACATGAAGGAAACCAGAACAAACATGCAGCAACTCAGCACTTCCTGTGTCTGTTTTTACCATTTAACCGTCCATTTCTTAAAAGGAAATGGACGGTTAAACAACTGGGTTATATCCCCCCCCCCCGACTAGTCTAATTTGTGGAAATATGGTAATTGTAGTTGTTATTTTGTTGTTGCTGTTTTGTTTTTTCAGATCAGTTTCTCTTTAGTCAAATTTTTCTGTGGCTTGTTTTTTTAAAAAATTTAAATGATACCTGCACTCCATTGAGAGAAGCGACCCCCATGTACAAGAAGACTCCATACAGCACAGGCATGGGGATGAACTAGGTGAAGGGAAAAAGAAGAATGCACATCACAGATGATACTTAGATCCTGGTTTGTTAGGAAACACAGAATATGTAAAGGTTAGTGAGCAAAATGAAACCACTGAAACTAGTCTGATTTGTTCTGAATTCGAGGAGTCGCCTATGAGTTGTGTAGTGCTCTCAAAGATTCCCACAACAGCGTGTGGACTGTTGTGCATCACAGCTCCAAAAAGAGAAGTCGTATTACTCCACAGCTGTCGACAGTCGCAGGAAAGAAGAGCAGCTGAATATCGTTTAAAAGTCTGAAATTACTTACTGTGCTGCAAAGGGAACCAATGACAGCTTTTTGAACCCAGCTTTCAGAGGTTGAATTTAAAATATGAGGTGAGAATAAGTATATCTAATCTTTGTAATCTACTGATAGATGGGCTGATTTGTATAAATCGAGGGAAAGCTGCATATAAAACTCTCTCAAGGAACTTGGCACGTGCTCGGCATGCAAAAGTCTTTGGGTTATAAAGATTGTGAACATTTATGAAAGTTTGTGAGAGAGTCTGGCCTCTCGGTGGCCGAAGATCAAAGTTAATGGCGCTGCTGTAAAACTCATTGAGAGACAACTGACGTCTAGAAGGACTTAAAAAAAATTCCACTGATCTTTGACTTCATCCACGTAAGTATTTATTGTGTGTGTGTGTGTGTGTGTGTGTGTGTGTGTGTGTGTGTGTGTGTGTGTGTGTGTTAACTTAATTTTTATTGTATTGAGCGATCTTCTTTTGCACTGAGATAACTGGACCTCAATGTCATTTTTCAGCGCCTCGTTGCTGCAGGGACGATAAAGATTCTGATTCTGATAAGATAGCAGCTTATCAGTAATCAGTGAGTGTATTTATTATGCAGGTTTATGGGCAGCCTGATAAAGAAATCCTTTTATTCTTTTAAATTTAATTTGACCAATGAAAACTATGTTAAAAAGCAGAGAAGTCCGATTTCATTTATGTCCTGGTAACTGAAGAACAGGTTAAATAATACAGATCCTCTTCATAATAATATGACCCACCGGCCATATTAGACAAACTATTACCACTTTATTGTGTCGTTGCATTTTGATGCAGATTTGAAAAGTCACGTAAGAGCAACTGGAATTCAAACACATTAAACTGAAATGGGACATATTAGCTAATCGTGTCTGTGAGGGCTCTCAGTGATCCAGGTCATCGTAGCCTAAGGAGGTTGGAAAGATGGTCCCAGATGACACCTTGGCTCATGTGATTAGGTAGAGGATCAATAAGGGGTCCATCACCCTGTTGGGGACACTCCCATAGGGCTTAAAATCTGGGGCTCTCCACCAGTTGCTCTTAGAACTGAAGAAGCTTCTCGGATGAAACATCTTTAAGAAACCTAAAGACGTCCAGATGCTTTTCTTTCCAAGCTCCTTAGACATTAGCTGTGTTTTGTTTTTGCATTTTTTGCAGGAGCATAGTGTGAAGCAGCATGACTTTTGTTCAGAGATGGCGATGAAGCCAAGTTACACTGCCTTTATATTGTTTAACTTTGTGCAGTATAACTAAAGAGAGCTTTTTAGCATTTTTGTAAATCACATTTAAGCAGTACTTGCATTGTATGTCTCTAGATCTATTAAAAATGTATTGTTGTTTGTTGATTTCTAGTCAGAGGCTTGAAAATAAATTCAAACTCCTCCCCAGAGATGTTACCAACATGGTCGCTACGTGGTAAGACCTGCTTCTAGAAGGACATTGATTAAACTCATAAACCGTTTAACTGGGATGCCAAGTTAACAGATCAATCACAAGACAAGAAATAAAATCAATATCTGATTGATTACCTTTAAAACTGGAGCCATAAACACAGACAGCCCTGTGAGGATGAACACGCACACACCCGTGACCCTCTGCTCTCTGCAAAGGACAGAAAAATACATTTTACACAAGAACAAAACTGCAGCGTCTGAGCTGTCTGCTTGCTATAAAGTCATGATCTGAAGCAGCCTGGCAGTCAGTTGCCAATTCATAAATTAGTTTAGCCAAGAAAAAGAAAACAGCACCAGTGTTTGCAGAGGGTTCAGAGTTAGTGTGGATGTTCTGGTGTTACGGTTTGTTAGCTCAGCTTACAGCTGACACATCAGGAGGCCGGGGAGGACGTCAGACATGAAAACAATCAAAAGCCCCGTAAAACTAAAATGAACACAAAGGAAGAACCAGGCAAGATGCTGAAAATAAAATATGTTAATACTGCCAATAACACAGCTTAATTTAAATACAGATAATCATTAAAAACCTGAGATGATGAGAAAAAAAAGAACATTTGTTAAAGTTGTCTCGCGCTGCCTTTTTCTGAAATATTTATTGAGACCAAACACTGAATGAACAATATTGACCAGCTAGGATCAACAAGCCAACAGCAATAAGTGTTTATTGATTATGATTTGAATGATAAGAGTGATCGAGACACTTTGTTCAGAGATCGTGTGCACGTTAAAAAGCACAGACGTAACTTCCAGGTCAGAAAAACGAAGCCAGCGTTGACGTGCCTTAAGCCTGCGTTCTATCTGAAGGCCACCAGATGGCGATAGATGCGGTTGCAAAAAAAGACTTTGGTCCTATAGCAGTCTATGGAAATGACCTCTGTGAACATGTTGTGACGAGTTTATGGGCTCGGTCACACGTTTGGGGTCATACTGAATAACAAATCAGAGTCTGCTTCATAAATCATGGTAATAACATGTTTCACAATGGAGCAATACTTGTCAGTTAAAGGTCATTAACAATGAGTATATGGTTTCATATTCAGAGTGATCGGCTAAAGAAATCTGAGGCTTCAAACGGCCTCCCTGATCAGCAGCCACAGCTGCAACATCTGTCATCGAGTCCTTCAACATGAATCTACCAGAAGTAGGCAGGGATGTCTTTAGCTGCTTATTTGCTAATCAGTTAATCAATTTTAAACTAAGACTAATCAGCTAATCTAACAGTCAGAAATCGAAACAAGTGTGGCTAATTTGAGCATTTCTGGCATGAACAGCCTTCTTTCCAGTGCACATGACATATGTGCTAAGAAAATAAAAGAAAAAGTTTAACTCGTGAGCCAATTCAACATCTTAGCGTAACTATTTTTGAGGAAGGTTTTTGCTTCTGTGTTCATCACATCTCAAAATGATTCATTGCTGCTGCAACACTCGGGCCATTTGCAGAGCACTTGGTGTTTGAGCAGATCACAGCACGAGTCCTTCTTCATGGACCTTCCAGTTTTAACCACAACCCTTCATCTGAAAGCACTTAATTCCATTTTCAATTTAGTGCATGAAATATCTGAAAGATTATCCATTTACTGCTCTTTGATGCATGTTGACCAAATCTAACCAAGTGATTCTGCCTTCTTCTTCCTGGAATCTCACCTGCAGATCAGATGTAAAAGCCATTCATTTCTCACAGTCAAACTAAAACTGTCATCGGGCTGTATGTGACCACAGTCCAGAAAGGGGGCGTCTTCCTAACAAGCATTGCTCTTACCTCACACCCAGGAACTTTGGCTGCTCTCCGGGAGCCGATGTTTCAGTCTCCATCTTCAAACTGTCGATGTGAGCGATGGAGATGACGGTGGCGGCCACGTACCACGGCAGACCCATGAAGGAGCAAATTGCTAGCAGAACAGCCACCCAAAACAGATCCAGATGGTAACCTGCCCCTTTCTGGTACAGACAAAAACAAGGTCAGAGGTAACGTGTGTGTATGTTCAGGCAGTAAGCAGAGCACAGCTGCAGATACAGGCAGATCTTTATGGTTTGTTTGCAGAATAAGACAGAAGAACCAAAGCGATGCTCCATCATTTATTGTTTAAAGGGGCAAATTACCCCGCTGAAAGAATCCTATTGGTCTACTTCAGCAGTTACTGCCTAAAAATAACAGGTAGTACTGCCGTGACATCTCTCTCACCCCTATGAGAAGAATGATGTTTAGCTCCAGTGTGAAAGGATCCAGTGTTCTAGAGCCGGGAGGCCAAACTCATTTTACATCGTGGCCCACTTTGATCTCAGGTGGGCCAGACCAGTGAAACTCGCCTTCATGTCAACATGAAGATGTTTAGATATATTTAATATAAAAAATGTAATTAAATACATCCTGTAATTATAAAACAGTGTTGTTAATTTTTTCATTTTTTTTAACACTGTAAAAATCATCATTTCTATAGCAGATAGTGAAAACACAGGAACTTTCTTGACTGTTTGTCTAATGCTATTTTACTTTGTTCTTATATGAAGTAGAGATGGACCGATCCGATATTACGTATCGGTCCAATACTGACCTAAATTACTGGATCGGATATCGGAGAGAAATAAAAAATGTAATCCGATCCATTAAATATCATGAAAGCACCTCACAAAACTTGCAACATGGCGTAACTCAGCTCATAACCGTAGCACGTCGGAGCAGTGTGCGTCACCTGATAGAGCGGCTGTGGCGTGCGAGACCTGTCGGTGGTCTGGTTGAGCATTTGGAGCCTCGTTACCAAACTGGTATTTCATCTCCGAGAAAGTTATCCCCGAGAGAAGTAAAGCAAGTGTGTAAGTTCATCTCTGAATGTTTGTAAAGCATTCCTGCGTTAAGCTTAACAAGCGATATATGGAGCGACTGCCTCTCTCCCTCCCTCTCCTGCTGCTACTTCAATCATGAAACTGATCAATGATCAGCTGTCGCGACTTTTTAAATTTGAGTATGAACTTATACAAAATGCAGCAACATACTAAAAAAACGCTTTTATTGATTAAAACTATCCAAATTTATGATATCGGTATCAGACATAAAAAAGTGGTATCGTGCCATCTCTAGTATGAAGGGCCATGGGGGAGGTCTTTATCAGTAGGAAAAGCTGTAAAACCTTTGAAAATACAGAGAAAATGTGAAAATTTGTGCCCTTCTTCACATTTTCCAAAGCCGTCCGGTGCACCAGATTGGAATTTTTGGCAGGCCGATTCTGGCCCCCAAGCCTTATGTTTGACACCCCTGTTATAATAGAGGGACTGTAGTTTGTTATGTGAAACACACTAAAAGTTCCATACATCATAAAAGAGAAACCGAATGAAAAAAAAATGTATGTTTGCACCTTATGAAAAGCTGTTTTTGTTGGATTTATCAGTATTTACGCAGCAACAACGTTCAGCTTTGTAAAGACGCTTCACAAAGCTCATTCTGTCAGAAGGATTTCTGACTTACCTTTAGCTTGTGCTCCTTCCTGTTGACAATCACAGCAGTAATCTGTTGGTCCATAAAGAGCAGGATGGTGACCAGAAGGGCAGGAAGAGCAGACGCCAGATAAACCCACCAGGGGTTTCCTCCAAATGGGGCCACAAACCAGCCTCGGTTTGGACTTGTTGGCTATAAGGAGAGAAGACACACAGAGTCAGTCCATGAGATTTAAATTGTACATATCCTTGCAAAGGCTTCCTGTCCATCAAACATGTTCATTTAAACTCCAGAAAACCTTTCTTTGTTAACCTGTCTCTGAAACTGTGTTAAGGTTCATTATGTGCACAATTAGAGTGGCTGCTTTTAGTGAAAGATGAACCCGGTACAAAGTGCTACACCACTGTCTGTAGCCGCTTGTGCCGACTGGCCATCTTTTACATACAGTCTATGATGATGACTTGCAGGACAATTTAACAAGAGTTTATTGTTGCCTCAGGTTTCATATAGCCACGCATAACTAATACGGACTTTAATTTCTCTGGGTGGAGGAGGGCACTCACTTTGAATTCACTTGGCACAAGAAGTTTAGGCGTATCAACTCCTACGAGCATATCAACTCCACAGAAGATAAGAATGGCCAAGATGATGGCAAAGTCACTGATGAGTTTTCGCACCTGAATGAAAAGAAAACACAAAGAGACTCTGGAACCTGCTGATCCACAAACAGGTGGGAATTTCATTTAGCTCCTTCACACGTGGCTTGTTCAGTTAAATTAGCTCGGCACGCTGACTCACAGTGGTGGGGAAGAAGGGGCTTGTCTTGAACTTTTTTAGACACATGGAGCAGGTGTAAGTGCCAAAGAACAATATGAAGGACATGAGGGTGATGTCTGGGACAAAGTCGCAGGCTTTGCCCACCAGCTCTCCATTATACTTCAAACACTCGGTCCTGGAGAGGGACGACCACGTGGCATTCGGTGGCTGCGTGAGAGAAACAAACAGGTTAAATAAAGTTTCAGACTTCCAGGTTAAATTAAACCAAAATAGCTGCTTGAGAATTTCCGTCTTTTACAGTGTAAGAGATTCATAAAACAGTGCCCAGAAACACAGGAGAGAAAACCGAGAGCATCAGTGTTAATGTGGTGACTCTCCTGCAGAGGTTAATACAGCAAAGCACAGCGAGGGGTTTAGTCGAGAAGTGACTCATCAAAAGAAACTATTAACCTGAAAATGATACATTTTAGTTTGTTTCTTAAAGAGCATCAAATAAAAGGAGAGAGACGCACCAGATCTGTGTTGTTCCAGAACCAGTCTGAGGTGCCTTCTAAAGGATCGCCAATGATGTCTGTGCTGTTTTCTGCAAGAAAACAACAAAACGTGTTTCCTCTCAGCATGAGAGCTTTAATACGTTTAATAAGTTTTACCATGGAAAAGGTTTCCAAAGTGACACGACTGAAATCTTATATGTGAAATTAATTTTAAAAGATTTGACCTCTTTACAGAGGCCATTTATGACATCTGACAATCAGCCTGGTAAACTCTGGTCAAGGTTAAGATACTTGCAGTACAGTACAAAGCTCAGCTATGACTTAACTTGTTACAGTGATTATTTTGCATTCATTGTGATACTATCTCACTATAAGTATTAGCTATCATGTTAAAGTGCCCTTGGGAACAGCCGGTGTTACCTGAGTGCATCCGAATGTCAAAGAAAATCAGCAGCAATCTGCTAACAATGACCTCAACAGCTACTTCATTTCAATAATGTCCCATCTACACAGAACAGCTTGAAGCAAACGTAATAAGTGTTCAGACAATCTGACATTGAGACATCAATGCTTGTAACTTCTTGTGATCTGACACAAAGGATACAAACGTTTTATGCATTTATGTCTGCAAGGAAACTCTAGACCAAGCCGCAGAAGAAGCAGCTACAATAAGAGGGAAAAGCATCAATACAACCTGACAGCTATGATTAGGTGCAGGATAAACTCGTTTTTATAGGTTAGCTTTTCCTTAATCTTTACCTTTGTTTTGGGCCATAATTTGGTTGATGTCTGTGTGAACATGTGCATTTAGCTTTAATGTAATATTCAAACTGAAACACTTTATTAATCTGTGTTTTTTAAAGTGTTACACAAATAAAAAGTACAGCTGTAGCAAACCTGATTAAAGAAAATGCACATGTGTACTGCTGCCTTTGCACCATAGACCTTTAGTTATGAATGCACTGCTGGTTTAACTTTATGCCAGTGGACTGGACGATCCACACAACTGTCGTTTCCTCTTTTCTATATTACACAATGCAGCAGCAGCATTACTGTAAGCTGAACACAGAGCTGAACAGCACCAGCTGTGTTAAATTAAACCTCTGTTAGACATTAAACGCATCATATTGGTTTAAAAAAAGATCTCTGTTCTTATTCTCACAAGAAGATAAATTTCATGCATTGTTCTTAAAGATTCTGGCAAAACCTGTAACATTGAATAGCAGACCGGCTGATTGGCATGCGTGGACAAAACAGGCTGTACAGTGTATAGATATGCCTTTAATTTAGTAACTACTCACCCAAGACAGTAGGAGCCATGCAGAGGCAGTCGTACTGCGTGACATATTCCATTCTGAAGTCAGGGTTGATTGGATAATGATGACCTAATTTGATCATCTTCTTGAAGGCATCATAGATAAAGATGAAGCTGATGAGACAGGAGAAGCCCTCCTCAGTGAAGCGGGTGAAGTACTGGACCAAGTAGCTGGCATCAGTCGCCACGAGCAGCAGGCAGAAGAAAGCCGACCACAGGCCGATCCACAGGCGGAACTCCAAGTAGTCAAACTCATTATCTCTAAAAAAAAAAAA